GCTGCCGCAGGGTCCCGCTACATCGGTGCGTGGGACGCGCAGCCCCGGGCGGCGGCACTCGGTCAGTTACGGCTGTCTGTAAACGGGTTGGGCCGCGGACGTCGCGAAGAGCGCCGTGCAGCGGGGACAGCCGCGGTGTTGGGCTCGGCTCGGTCACCCCGCCGGGGCGGCCGCTCCCGCCCGGCCGAGGGAGTCCCTCTGGCACGGGTGTTGAAAGTGAAGTGCAGCGAAACTTACCTTGGAGAGGGGAGAGTGGTTGCCTAACAGCCTTCAAACCACTCTCTCCTGTGCCTTACGCAAGTGTCTGGGGATGCAGTGCAAGTTTTGTAGGAAATTTGCCCTAGTGCTCTTGGCTGAAATACTCATTCATATTGCTTAGTAAGCCGAGCTGCTTTCTTTGCACAAAAGCTGACTGTCTTCCAGGGATGCTGTGTGTCACCTTTGGCATAGTATCAGATGAAGACATGGGAAAATGTACATGTGTACCTTCCGGACCTATAAAGCATACCTGGCTTATGCATTTGTAATTCTAAATGTACTGGGTGGACCTTTCATAGTAAGACTGGATTTGGTATTTAAATCATAATGAGCTCCTCCTGGCTGTGGCTAGTCAGCAGCCTGCTGCTAGGGCATAAAGTGATGCTCCCCTCAGTGTAGCTTTGCTGAAAGAAGTGTGGACTGGAAATGGGAGGGATAGAAGAGTTTGTGTGAATGTGAGTGGCGGGGGTAGCATGTCTCACGTTAACCAGCTTCTCTCCAAACTGGACACTCCTGTGGTAAAGGAACTATCCGCAAATCTGCGGAGACGCCAGCTGCTGAGATGGAGCGCTCCTCCCTGATTTCAAGTGGGTTTCCCTGCCCTGACAGGTGAATCCAGGGCTTTGGCTGCCCTTTGGAAGGGGACAATGGGTTCGCTGCCATGTGCTTATGTGCGCTATCACAGAGAGGTGTGTGGAAAGGTAGTCCCCGAGGAAAGCAGTCAGTGTGCCTTAATGAGATGAGTTTGTTGCCACCTTAAAGCCCATCACCTTGGACTGACTGGTCTGGTTCTTTCTTGCCTCTGAGGCCTCCCCAGGAAAGCAGAGCTGCTGACTCCTAATGCAACAAAAGGGCTCTATAATTGCTGTAGCAAGGGCGAGTAACACTGCTCTGTGGCTGTCTTTTCTTGTGCCTGCCTCTTCTGCATGTTAGGATATATGTACCAAAAAAAATCTTGGCTGTCCCGCAGTAGGTTTCAACAGATACTGACTTGACAGTTTCTTTCATTGCAGAATGTTTAAAAACGTGGGTTTCAGTAGACACTGTCAAGACTAATCTACACTTTCCTCTGGGTTAATCTGTTGTGACTGGTTTTGGGTGTTGATGGAATAGGAGATGATGTGTTATATAGCTTAAATATAGGGTAAAGATGTAAAAGTGTTTCTACCCAAGTAGGGTTTTTTTAATGAGTCTGGGAGCCTGAGGCTTTTTAATGAATCTGTAACTCCCTGTAGGTTCAACTTAAGCTTGGTCAATGGTTGCTTCATATATGTTTCAGGTATCTGTGGAGTTGTGGATTGTTTTCTTTTTGTTTCTCTGTAAACTCTGCAGTCGAGTAAAACGAGACTTGGACTCAGTTCATCTTGTGCTACAGAATGGCCTGTAATTAGTGTAGCATGTCTTGCTGGTTGCACCTCAGTGAATGATACTGATACTAAGCAGACTATCTTGTGTAGCATCTCAAAGCATGTTTTTTTGTGTAAAGTGCTTTAGTATTTGCTGACTTTGCTGTTCCTCAGATTGCCTGGGGGCAAAGTGGTGGGCATTTCTTTGGAAAGCAGAGGCAGACTGTGGTCTTGTGAGGCTCTCCTGTGCAGGTTATGTCCAGGGTGTCTCTGCACCCCCTTTCCTGAGAAATGCCTGTCCCTATGACACGTGTCAGTAGATAGGTACGTTTTTCTCACCTCTCTTTCCTAATGTCAGTCCATAGTTCTAGTTCTTCATTGGAGGTTTGGCAGTTGGCCAAAGGCAGCTCCTGCCTTCCCCAGTGTATCATTTGGGGCTGACCGCCTGTCTCCCAGTAAATCAGTGTCACTGTATTGATCAGGCCATAAGGTGCTACTAGGCGGCATTTCTCCTCCCATCCCATGGCAGCAGAAGTGCCAGCAGAAACCAGGTGTTTTCTGAGAGTGATGCTGTTGTTTGGGGACCTTTGTTTTTGCTGAGCTTGGAACTGGGCTGGTTGCTTCCCCGGTTGGAAGGTGCTTGCAAGTTTCTGGTGCTTCCCCTGTTTTAAGGGGTGAAGCAGGTAGAGAGCCCTCCTGGGCACCTCAGAGATATCAGCTGGCCTGGAAATGGGAATGGCATGGCCAAAGACTATGCATGGGACATGATACAGTGTGTTTTCATTTTGGGGTCTTTTCTTTCACAGCTGTGATCCTTGAATACCAAATGCCTGCTGAATGAAGGTGAGTTGATAAAACTGTCATGTGTAGAAACTGATTCAGTTCTAGCTGTAGCTGCCTGAATTCAACATCAAATACTTGCTTCATTAGGTACAGTTTTTTGATGCAGGGAACCAAACTGGTTTTGGAAGAAGTCTGATTTGTTTATGACTCTACCTGGTATTGCAGTATTCACCTCCCCACAGCACCTTCTGCATCTTTTCAGGCTGACTACTTGAAGGTGGCAGACTTCTGATTCTTCTCATCCCATGCCTCTCCCTGTAAGTGGTAAGGCTACATTAATCTGTATTCCCTGCAATCTCAAAGCTGGACTGTTTGCAATCTGAAAATGGGTAATTCTTACTATGATAATTTTTCAACTCAAAATTCGTTCAGAGTAATCTGTATCATCAGAGGGGTTTTTTGTTAAGTGTTATTCACATGTCCTGATAATAAGTGAAGCCTGTTGACTTTCTAGAGAGCGATTTGGCATATGGACTTACAAAATAACTTGTTTTAGAAGAGCAGGCCTTTGAAGTTCAAGTGCCACCATTTTATTCAATCCCTTTTTATAATTTTTTTTTCCTATTTTTTGTTAGGCATGCCACAAAACTGCAGATGCTGAGCATTCTTGTGATATCTGCTGCGTGAACATTTTGCTTTGTTCGTGTTTTGTGTGCTCCCTGTGAATTAGGCTGCCTTTTGTTTTCCCTTGGCAGATAGACTAACAAGAGGTCTAGCATACTATATGGAGCTCCTTATTTTAATGAGACCAGCTTCTTTACTGGCTGTTCTGCTGTTGTTTTATTTATTTTTTTTAATCAATGAAGCCTCTTACTGCAACTCTCTTGAGACAATGGCTTTCTTATGCTAAAGAAAAATTTATTCCCCTGGACAAAGCTGGGGGAAGCATAACATGCTCATTAGTAATGCTTGGTATATACACTGCGCTTCCCTTGTTCATTCATAGAAGGAAAAATGACATCAAGAAGAGCATGTCTCTCCCCCCCCAAAATAAAAGGAAAGTGAAAGATACCACTTGGACTGTCTGTGATAAAGTTTGAGAAGTGCTAGCAGTCCTGATACAAGGAAGTGGCTTCAGTCTGAAAACAAACTGGTTGTTCCTTTGCTGGACATTGTAAGTTGTTTGAAATGCCTGACTTGTGTGGTCCTATGTTGCGTGGGAGGAAAAAAAATGAGGAGGGAATGGCACCATTCTGCTTTCTGGGTAAGAAGAAGGGGGAGAATTTTTACAAGAACTGGGTCATCTTTGATGGGCTATTTGGCCTTTTGTTGTAGGAAGGTCAGGTTGTGCAACAGATGGAGGAGAAGAATGCTGTCTATGTATAAAGCTTAAGCATCTGGGACAGGAGAGGGAAGTTATTTATTTTTAAGGGAAAACAGATGAGTTAAAACTGACTGACAATATCTGCAATCTGGTTTCCAGCTTAATCAGTAAGATGAAATTTTATTGCAGCTATTAAGTAATAGAGCAAGACAGTTGCTTTTAACTGGCTTCAAGACACAGATAGGTACATTTTGAGGTTGTAATGCCCTCCACTACCACTGTAGAGAATTATGCTGAGGAAATTCCTTCTGTTACATGTGTTTGTAGCTAACCCGGTAATACTGCACATCTCTAGACCTGAAGTATTCATGGAGAGGCTTACTGAACCCCAGCCCAGTGTAGAGTTTCTGCTGGGTTTTCCCATGATTGAAAGCATGGCTGGAAAATACTGTATTGGTTTCAGGAGAGAAAGGGTTGACCAGATTGCCTCTAAAACTTTCCTTAAGGGTTGTTTTGCCAGGGAATTGTTACAATGACCATATTGTTGCAATAGTTTGCAACCTTGTGTTGAAAAAAACACAGGGGTGTGCTAGCTGCCTGGAAAGTCAAAATCCCATCCGAAGCTAATAAAAACATTGACACTTCTCTCATGTTATCTATGCAAGAAGAAATCCCATTCTTCTGAATTATTTCCTTGCTGTAAGATGTTCATAATCTTCAAAGTATTTAATGTAAACTCAGGATGCATACATGGACGAACGTACAAGATGGTGAATGCCATCGTTGTTAAATCCAAGAATAGTTTGAGTATTTATATTTCTCTTTGGCAAAGTAAATGCCTTACAGCTCCTTAAAATCATGCAAACCTGGGAGCCTTATTTATCCATACAAAGTTAGTTGATACTTTGCTGTAATAACCACTGCTTTATTTAAGGGCAGAGAACTAACTGAAGTTGTCTGAATACTGGATCTAAACCTTAGGTACTAAGATACTTCCCTCTCTCCCCCTCCATTCCTAATCAGACACATTCTTATTTTTCCAAAACAGCACTGATGGGTTTTTCTTGGGATTTTCATGAAAGTAGGAGGGACTGGATTAAAAATGCTCTTCTCTTTCACTAGGGGAAGAAACTAATGTAAATGCAGGTGACCATGCAGAATGCAGTTCAGGTAAATACCTTTTTTACTATTTGAAACCTGTATAATACTTTTTTTTTAAATGCAAAAATCTACCCTGAACAGATGAAGTGCTAGAATCCCCAGAGTTATCTCTGTGGGGTTTTTTTTAAAAAAAAAAAAAAAAAAGTAATAGTTTACCCATTTTACAAATGGAGCAATGTGACAAAATAGATAACCCAGTGTTATATCAGGTGATTCTTTCTTCTCTTAAGTGCTATTACCTAAGAAGGTTTTGAACTCAAAGGATGAAATTATGTTAAAACTTGCTTGATGATTAAGAGGAGTTTTTAAAAACACTATGTTCTAGTTAGTACTTTAGTACGAATAAATATATTTTATAAACTCACACGCTTCCTGAACTGAAAGAAAGTAGTTCATACCAGAAGGACACTGAGGATTTTGTACATGAAATTTGTGTGGTCCTTTTCTTGAAATGTAAAGGAATCTCTCAGTTTGAAAATACACAATCCTTAAGAAAAATGCTAAGAATTTGAAAGTGTGTTTTATTCTTGTACAGGAATATATTTCCTCTTTTAACATCATCATTTTCATGATTTAAGCACAAGGTGCCTCTGAAATGTTTGAACAAAGAAATCAGTGGTCTGTAGTAAATTATGTGATAAACTGCAGATTTCATTATTTTAAATGTGCAGAGGGAAAAAAAAAGCCACAAATTTAATGCATGTTTTCTTTATTTAATATTCAGGGGAACATGCAAGTTTAAATCCAAAAAAAATCAAGAGAATGAATGTAGTAGTACTTTTGATTTACTAATGAGATCTGAGCTGTTTGTGATTACTGTTGTGTTGGTTTGGTGTATCTGTCTGAAGAGGAATGAATGCTTTGAATAATGGATCTCTAGTATAATTCAGAACTGTAAATTTTTTGTCATCTGACTGCAAATATTAGAGCTCACTGTCTTCAGCTTACTAAAATCTTCTTCAGGTGTGGTTTGGTGATGACCTTCCCTTAAGTCCCCGAAGTCCTCTGACTCCCAGACATGGGCCAGGTTTGGCAGATGTGTGCTTGTATGACCAGTGGATATCTGTGCGGCATGAAGCAACTTTGGTGCCTATGCAAGAAGATCTGTCGATCTGGCTGTCTGGCTTACTGGGTGAGGTGAAAAATAAATCACTCTCATAAATTCCAAAGTGCTTTTCAACATTCCAGTCAATGCTGACACTTAATATCTACAGTACTATTAAGATCAGGTGTATTTGAGCCTTAATGGCTAGGAGAATTGCATTAAAATACATGCTTCAGTTTTGGATTTTATTAGCTGCCACCTCTTAGAAGTACAGTGATTAATCATTTTAATTTGTATTTATGAATCTTGCTAGTCTAATTAAAATCTGAGTGGATATTTAATCTTAGTTTTATATATATTTCTACTAATTTTCAGTATTTAACAATGCAGTACATGATATGATGGACAGAATGCTGACTGAATTGCCTCTAAGTTCATATGAAACTTCTTTACCTTCTGTGGAGTAACTCTAATATTGACCTTTTTCAGGAATAGAAATCAAAGCAGAACAACTGCTAGAAGAACTTGATAATGGGGTACTACTCTGCCAATTGGTTGGTGTTCTTCAAAACACAATTAAAAAATGTTGTAGCTCAAATAATTTAAGGGTAAGTCATATTGTGACTTTTTTTTTTAATACATATATAGTCTTTAATTGTAAGTATTAGTAAAAGGAAAGCAGGTAAGCAAGGCTTCCCAAAGCATTCTGTGAGCTGTGTATCCGGAGGCTGATTCACAAGAGTGTGGCATTATAGATGGATAAACTGTCCTTATTCAACAAATGACAGACTTTGTAATCAAACTCTAATGTCCTTATTAGTTTTTTTAGTTTGATTTCAGTAGCGTTCTTGCCAGAGGTAGAGCTAGCCCATGTCTGAAGTTTGTTTCCCTGATAACATCAGTGTGGGTTGGTAACAAGATATCCGTTGGAACTTGGTAAAATGTCTTATTCCAGAAACTGGTGGCTGAACTCTAGTATATAGGTTAGCCATGAAAATATCCATATTGAGATGTACCTGGAGATGTGTTTTTGTTAGGAACCAAGGCTGAGTTGAAATGTGAGTCTCAAGCAACTGGCAGTCTGTGTTTGTGCAATGAAAAATAGTGATGTGTCACTTTGGACTGTAAAACCATGTAACGCTGGTACAGGTAGCATATGTTCAATACACAGGTACCCAGTATAGCTACAGCAATAGTTGGATCCATCAAATAGGTCACATTAGCTGGTGATCTACTAATTGGTAGTTTTTTCCTTGGGGGCAGGAGGAACTGTTTCACCATATCCAGACCATTTTTTTGTGTGTTTACCTCTTACTGTTTTATCTAGTAAAGCAGTTTTAAATAATGGATATGTACCAGTAAGTGATATAATTACTAATATTACATTTATTATTAACTTGGGGGGAGGTGGCAGGACACAAGACAGCAGTCTTAGGATGCCAAATAGTATTTATACAAGAGCCATATGAATGCTGCAAATCCTTAGGGTTTGTTTGGTTGGGTTATTTAAGGAGGACAAGATGTGCAACTTGTGTACCTTTTAACTGGATGTTTAGTTTTGAAGATACCAGTTTAAAACCAAATAGGTAATGAATTGTTTAAAAGGAAACTGCCCTTTGTTCCCTTTTGATTCCTTCTGCTTTCTAGAATGGGCTCTAAAATGTTGAAATCTGGCAGGCAGGTATAGTGTAATTGATTTGGACTTTTCTCTCTGTGCTATGATCAGAGCTTGAGAGCGGGGAATAACTATGTAGACCTGTGAAACCGCCACTAAGACTTACCCCAGCCTGTGGGGGAGCAGCTGTATGGGCAGATTTGGGAGAGGCTGCAGAAGTAATGATCGTTCACTCAGTGACTGTTCACAAAGATAAGGTGGAGTGCCATCTACATTAGCAGAGCTTTTATTTCATAGAATACGGGGTAGGTTGAACACAAAATAGTTACTAACCACTGTTTCTATAGTCAGAATTTACAGTTTATTTTCCTTTGCAAATATGCTTTCAAATCTGTTGGCAATTGATGTGCACACTTGTTTTCTTCCCTTGCCAGAATTTTCCTATGAGAAAAGTTCCATGTAAGAAGGATGCTCCATCAGGATCGTTTTTTGCCAGAGATAATACAGCCAACTTTCTTAACTGGTGTAGAGCCATTGGAGTTGACGAGACTTATCTCTTTGAATCAGAAGGCTTAGGTACATCTATCTTTTTGTAAGATTTGCTTTGATCTGTATGTAGATAACTACCTGGTCAGGGAGATCTCTTGTGTATAGTCTTTTGAAGCCTTTGTCACGATTGTTCCTGTCTTGTGCAAGCTGTTAATGCTTTATTTTATTTTAAGGCAGTGTTCAAGTAAAAGCCTTGAAAAATCAGTTCAGTGATGTCTCTAACTTGCATGATGCTTTTCCAAACTTCTAAAAGTCACTGTGTAGGATGAAGGGAGGAGCAACAGCTGTGAGGCAAACTTGTGCAGTAAAAAGGCCCACTGAGAAACAGAGGAGAAAAGCGTGGTTTAGCTTTCCCTGTGCAAGAAGACCATAGGGCCATGGAGTCAACTCACAATAAGATCCTTTATTTGCTGTTAGAGCTCATTCTTGTTGCAGAAAGCCCTCAGAATAATGCACTCATGACTGCTAAATTTGGTGACTACATCAGGGCGTTGTGCCTGAAGTGGCAACAGTCTGTTGGTAATTAACATTTACTTCAGAACCTACTTGACATGACTCCAAACCTTTTGTATTTTCCCATTTAATAAGATAGTTATAAAACTAAATTGCCAACTGTGTGTATGCCTGCCCCAGTGCACAGTCTGTCCCTTATAACAAACAGCTTCTAGGCTGATCCTTCCAGATGGTATAAATTTTTTTGGGCTGCTAATTAAGAGGAACTGTGCTTTCTTCACATGTTAAATAATGAAGTGCTCTTCTACCAGCTATTATGTCAGTAAAAATTAATACAAATCTTTCTGTGGTGTGCCAACCATTTTTTTTTAATTTTGTGGATTTTTTTAAAAAAAGGCAAAATATCGGTCTGTCAGCAGAATAGCAAAAAATTGCGAAGAACCTTTGTTTTCAACAATCAAATTAATTTGTCACAGTATTTACTAGATTTTCTTGAAGTCTTTGTGCTACTTAATGCTATTTAAATGGGAGACACTATTTTCATTAACTGCTTTTCTTTCAAGCTCTTCTCCCTACGAGTTGGATTGTCTATGCCTTCACTACTGGAGAAGTCATCTTTAAAACAGTTGAGAAAACATCCTCTTTTGCATCTGTCTCATTTTGATTTAACTAGTGAGTGTATCTTCTTTTCCATGACAGGAAATACAGACGAGTAGAACTGAGCTATGAGAAAATTTGTTTTAATATTTTTTTTCAGTTCAACTTGTATGAATTGCATTGCTTAAGCATCTTAGTTCCTGTAAGTGGATGGGTAACTAGAACCTGTTTTAGCCTCCCTGAGATAAGCAGACAGGATGTTCTATTGCTGTGGCTTTTGCTCATAGCCAAGAATTGTTTTGAAGTCTGATTGTAACTCTAGACACAGCTTGCTTTATGGCATAAATAGCTTCTGTGAGCCTTTTTGGCAGTCGAAATGAGCAGACTTGCAGCCTCCTTGATGAAACATTCTTTCCACTGATGTTCTCCATCAAACTTGCAAGTCATTCTTTATGAATGAAATAGGAGAAAGAAAATTTGACTATTGCTTTTTTCCTATCAGATACATACAGCAACACCTCCTGAAAAGTGTGGATGGCTGTGAAGTGACTCCTGAGACAGCAGGAAAGAGAGAGTAGCCATCATGGGATGCCCTTTGACATTGAGACAAAACAAATGTCTTGACTTCTGCTAGGGTTATATTTGAATTTTTCTCTTCTGGATTCAGGCAAATTATACCACTTCTGTCACAGCTGACAAAAACAGGAAAAAAAATATTTAAATGACTTCTAGTACCTTTTAGATTGTGGCTCTGTCAACTTTCTATTCTAGATTTACACTTCATAATCAGATCTTTTAAAAAGTAGACTTACAAACTGGAGTAGATGATGTAAACAAGAACATCTGACTTCATACTCAGCTTATACTTTAGGAAGCACTTCAGTCTTATTTAAAGCAAAATCGTTTTAAATATTAAATTGAACATCAGAAATTTCATCTGTAAATATAGAGCTGGCTCATTAGGTTTCTCTTCAGAGTGAATTTCTGTTTTCTGCTGAATATCATTACTCCATAGCATGAAGAAAGTCAGAGTTGTTCATATAAATGTCACACCATATGAAAATTGTATCTACAGCTTTTCCCTTTTTCACCAATTGATGGTGATGGGGGAAAGAATGGTGCCATGTAGGTGCATTGAGGGAAGTTGAAAGACCTTTCTCTCAGCCTTTAGTTTCTGAGTTACTAGGCGGTGTTCCTAGTTGGCTAAGAAGGCACATGAATGGTTTGTTTTGTAAAGCATTCATGCAGCTGTTCTTAGAACATGTCAAAAGCATCTCAATTTTGAGGCTTTGTGGGGCAGAGGAGGAAGTATTTACCTGTGAGATTTTAAACTATTTTCTTTCTCTGTTCATGGCCTTGTTTCTTTTTAGGTGTGCAAGAAAATGGAAAGATGAAAGTTTCAAGAAACCAAAACAGACATTGTTTTCCTTCTGCCTCTTCTGTTCTTCATTGCAGCAGTAGAAATTTCATCTCATTCTTCAGCACTCCTGGTTGTCATTTAGTGTGCCTATGTGGTTGAGTGCACGCAGCTGCTAGAGCTGCTCTGAACTGAGGGGTGCAAAGCAGCTCTCTCCATTGGGCACTAGCTGCTTTAATGTGGGCACAGTCTTCAAGAAGCAAAGTCTAGTGGAAAACTCTGTGCTAATAACGTATCTGGAATTGTGTTGATTCTTTTCTGTGATCACAGCGCGTATCTGATGTTTGAATCTGAGTTTTTGTCTCTTAAACCAATGTTGTTCTCACCATCTTGTGGTCAGGGAGGGGTTTTGACCATCCTTTTCAGATACAGCCTCACAAAGATACAGTTCTGAAGAAAACCTCTGGGTGGATAGTTTGGAGGGCGGGAACTGATAGAGAGGGGTGAAATGAGGGGTAGAGGAGTCACCACTGGTAAAGTGGTATCTTCTAGTTGAACTGGGTGAATCTGTCGTATAGATGCACCCTTCTGGCGCCCGGAACTTTTAAAGTGATAAGAAAAATAAAATCTGTTGCTTGCTGAAATGGTAAGAATCACCCGGATTATTCTTCCACAGCCAAGGTTTTAAACTACTTAGGCTGACTGACTGCATAGCCATCCACTTGTCAGTTAGGTCCCTTTCTCTGTATTCTCCTATGGCTGTTCACCGATAGAGTGTGTGTGCCTATCTGTATGCACAAGCATGAACAGATGGAGTACCTTTCCTGTTTGCAGTTGTTGAATTCTCTTCATCTTTAATACTGTGATAATGTGTTTGGGGATAGGGAAGGGAAAGCTCTTGGATCTCTTTCTTTCCAGTTCATATCAACAGCATAAAACCAAATAAAGCGTATTTCTCTTAGAAGGTAGAGAAGAGTTTGATTTCAGGAGTTCCCGGATGGGCTTAAACACCTTAGGGAATAGAAAATTAGAGTTGAAAGCATATACTGCTTTATCCATTCTTTGGGTAGAATGGTGGTGAAGTTACAGTCATCTGTTCCTTATCCTCCCCTTCTCTGTAGCTAATTGCACAGGCCTCCCCACAGTAAATATGAGCTGTAACTCCCTTTTATTCTCTTCCCATTTAGTTTTGCACAAGGATCCAAGACAAGTGTATCTTTGTCTGTTGGAAATTGGGCGCATTGTATCCAGGTATGTGATCTGCATGTGCTTTTCACAAGAAATTGAAGAATGCATTCTATTAAGTAAAAGCTAAGACAAAGTTAAGACAATATGCAGTCATTAAGTGCAATGCAGTAGATGTTAATTCTGTGTAGAAAGTATTGAGTAGCTTTTCTAGGACCACTGTATGAGTGTTTTTTTCAAGTACTTATCAAACTCTTCATGGAAAGGTGCTGATCCACACAGCTTCTTATGACTGTTTCAGTGCTATGTTCAGCTTATAAGTATGTGTATATCTTGGAAGAGCTTACTGAATATTAAGTACAGTTTTAAGGTCTTTAATTTTTTTTAAGCTTTTTGGCAGGTATCTCATTCTCTAAATTTAGACTTCTAATTTATTTCTAATGCAGAGCTGGAAGCTTTAAGATCATCTAAATTGGATGTGACCTGAATTGTGTGGTATTGACAGTATTTTTACTGCCTTCTGTGGCAGCTCCAAGACCACCTTTCTAGTAGAAACTTAGAGGTGCTCCTTGTCTTTGGATTATCAAGGCAGTTATTCCTCTGACTGATTTAGTGCTGTTTCCTGTCAGTCAAGCCACACAGAATTTTGCATGTTTGTTATCAATTTCTTTTTGTTTTCTTTAGTAAATTAGCAATTAAACTCTATACTTCTGTATTTGAGGTATGGAGTTGAACCTCCTGTACTAATAAAACTAGAGAAGGAAATTGAACTAGAAGAAACGCTGCTGATGACTGCTGGACCACCATCACCTATTAGCACAGAAAAGTCATGTTGTCACCATGGGGAGCTACATGAGGCAGTAAGAACTACTTGTTTATTGTGATATGGGCTTTAATCAAATTCTTACATTTAGTACTTATATGATCTGGTTTAGTAAGCATAGGCTGGTTTTTGTCTAATAGTTGTGAACCTCCTTAAATAGAAAATAGAAAACAGAAGGTTATGAACCTCTTCTGAACAAGTATTTTTTTTGAAAATGTAAGCAATATGCTGTCCTATATGTTTTAGAGTTAATGTCTCAATGCATATAATTTGCCTTGATTTCTCACACCACCATCACACCCCTTCATTGCTTCTTTGGGTATAAGAAATACTCATTCAGTTTTTCTAGTGTGTCAGTATGTTATGACTGTAACATGCTTCTCTTCAATTTGATGTTAAAGTAGGCCTTGATGAAACTCTTGGAAGAATCGACTTTAAATAAAACCTCTGTAGCTGTACTGATTGCAAATGAGTATGTATGCAGAAAGGAAAATGATTTGTACATCTTGTGAACTGGTCCAAAAGGAATGATGAATGACTCTCCTGTTTTGCTTTAAAATGCATGTTGAGACTTTAAAATAAATTTATTTTTAAAGGTCCTCCATGTTGTAATGTAGAACTTCCACTACTTTGGGAATGTTAGCCATCAGGTCCTCACTCCCTTTGAAAAACCTTGCTATTTCTTTTGCTTGGCAATAGTCTCGATCTTCCAATTTTTTAAGTTTCTAAGTAGCTGTAAGAAGCACATCTTCTCTAACCCTGGACTTATTTGGGTACTACCTTTTTCCTTTTTTTAGTGGTTTCCTTCTTGGGTGCCACATAGAAGATTAACTTATAAAATCATTACAAAAAGTTAGGGAGAATGCTGAAGTAGACCTGAGTCTGGTGTAGCAATGGATTTGGTCACTGGAGAGGCCCAGGCACTTGTTTCAATTTCTAGAGTTCATAACAGTGTCTTAATTTACAAGGTTGTGGTTGGAATTGATGCCACTATGCATAGTATTATGAATAAATTTTAAAAATGAAAGTAGAAATAACTTAAACTTGAAGAAATAATGAAAATTGGATTGGAACAACTCAAAATATTTGCCTGTACGTATGGTTCTTCCTTTTAATCTTTTGCTTACGTTTTGAGGCTCTATGTAGCTGAAATTTTCTTGAGAGAATAGAATTCTAGTTTTCTTAGATAATGGGATGAAAATATCAGTATCTTTTCATGTATTAAATCTCTAAATTGTTAAACACATGCTTCTGTCAAAATACTAACAAATGCTTTCAATTTTAATAACTAGGTTAAACATATAGCAGAAGATCCTCCCTGCAGTTGTTCCCATCGATTTTCAATTGAGTACTTATCGGAAGGACGTTATAGACTGGGAGATAAAATACTCTTCATACGAGTAAGTAGTTTCTCAGTATCCCAATTTAGATTCATAACTGGGAGAAAAATGCTTTTAAGTGGAATACCTCATTTTTATGGTATTGTTTGAGAAACACAGAATGATGTAGGTTGGGATGCCACATCAACCGATCCCCTATTCAAAGTAGGATAGATCTTAACCGTTGATTTTGCAACCACACTAAGTTAATGCTTTTCTGTGGTGTTTCTAAAATTTCAGTAATGACTTGTCATATAAATGAGGATAATGCTTATTTATAGCATAGGATAGAAAGTCCCGAGAACGTTGCTTGTTCAAAATCTTGGGGTTTATAATTTGCAGTTGAGCACTCTGTTCAGCAGACATAACTGTGTTATGAGGACATCCATAATTTGAACAAAACCTGTATCCAAAACTCTGTATACTACATAAAGATGTTGACAGAATGGTTAAAATGTCTTCTGTATATATGCTTTCATTACTTCCCAACACATAATGACTGTCTCTTCAGGAGAAACTATTTCATAAAAGAATTGGGAAGCATAAACCTTATTTATGACACAATTTCTCTTATTTTTAAATGTTTCTCTGTAAGAAAGAGGTCCTGTTTGTTAGTCAGTTTCAATAAATGTTAATGTAAGATGACATAATGCTGCATAAAACAAGATAGAAATTTTTCTTGTTCTTCTGCTTCCACCCCTTTTTTGTCCATTCTCAGATGCTACATGGCAAGCATGTGATGGTACGTGTTGGTGGAGGCTGGGACACTCTTCAAGGTTTTCTGCTTAAATATGATCCATGCAGAGTGCTTCAGTTTGCAACTCTGGAACAAAAAATACTGGCCTTTCAGAAAGGGGTCACCAGTGACAGTGCCCCCAACTCGTCAGCTAGAATTCAGGAACCTCCTGTTATGAATCCAATGTCAGCTGTCAATATGTTTCAAAATCAGCCATCAAAACCCCCAACTCCTGTTTCAGCTCTTGGGGCCAGTGCCAAGAAGGCTTTAGCTAAGCGTCCTCAGTCCCCTGCCCTGGCATCGCCAAAAGTGCCAGTGCCCCCATCCCCCACATCAAAGTTGTTGCCCATCAGGTCCAAATTACAGGGGTCTTCAGCAACAGGCCTTCAGTCCCCTTTCAGACCATTAGCTGGCATCTCAAAGAAACTGGAGTCTCCTGCACACAACTTGCCAGTTTCTGCTCCTTCACAGCCTCCAAACAAAAGCTCTTCATCTGCAGGAATGAGAACAGCTCTTGTTCACTCTGAAACATTGCGTAAACGTATTCGGTCCCCTGATGCTCCCAAGGTGAAATTTGCCCTGCCTCAGAGCTCCCTCGTGCCAGGGCTACATCCTGTGCTCTCATCCTCTAAAACACAGCCATCTCGCTTGCCTGGGACAGCTGAAACAATGTCTTCAAAACAGAAGCACGTCCCTGCTAAATGCAAACCTGTATCTGTCACTAAAACCAAAGTGAATTCTGTTGCTCAGAGGGCTGCTCAGCTGCCTGTTACAAATCTCTGTGCTGTTGCCAAGTTTGCACATTCTCAGCAGCTCCCTGCAAAACCTCCTGGAAATGCTATTCATACGTCTGGAACTGAGACTCAGCATCCTCGGAAACCTCCACAAACAGTTTCTGACCTTGCAAGGAACCTGAAAAGTGCTTCAGTCCTAAAACACTCAGCTTCTGTACCTTCCCTTGCAGTTAGTAAAGCATCAAAGTCACCACCTACAATGGTATCAAAGAGCAAAAATGTATCATCAGCTGTCAATAAGCAGCCAGATGTCAGTCAACCCCCTCGGGTTGGACCCACTTCATTTAGGCCTCCTGAACGCACTCCCTTATCTGTTGTACGGCTTCCTCAAACTTCGGCCAAAGCGGCAGTAACCAAAAAAAAGCCAGAGCAGCCTTCCACAAAAAGTCAGCCTTCAACCAAAAACTTGCAAGTAAATGAAAGCTTGGCCCCAGCAGCCAAGAAGCCTCTCCCTAAGGGAAAATCAGCAACGGCATGTAACAAAGGAACGCCTGGTGTATCAAAAGGTCCTTTTACAAAGAGCAGGCAAGATGATCACTATTTTGTTATGACAGGGAGTAAAAAACCCAGAAAGTAAACTTATTTCTTACTTTCTGTGGAAGTCTTAGATGGGCGTCTTGTATCTGCTATACTGAGGACAAGGAAAAAAGTTAAATAACACTACATTTACCATGAAATATTAGGTATAACCTACATTTTGCTGCATAACTTCCAGCAAGAAATGTATTTATTTTGTAGTTTAGAAACTTCTATTTGGATATATTTAAAAGTGAGCTTGCTTGCTGTGTAGCACTATGGGATAGACAATATCACTGTTTGCTGCTAGCCTGACCTGCTGTGGGGAAGGCAGGAGGGAGGAAAGGGGAGCTAGGGCTGCTGCTTTTGCTGCCGCTCATTTTCATGGAGCAAAGCCTGCCCAAGGAACATCTACCCAGGGCAAAGCGTGAGTGATTCTGGCGGTTCTGGCACATCTACATCAAGGCCCATGGCAAGCAATACAACTGTGTGCAAGCTGTAAAATTTCTAATACCTCAAACAAAACTATGGTTTTTGAAGTTCACCAGCATTGTAGAACCAAAATTTGGGTCATCTGCATGTATGAGAAAGAAATCTCTAGTCATGTTTAGATTTCATAGCTGCCTTTATCAGTGTTCACTGTGTCCCCCATATGCCTTAAAGTGGATTCAGCTTGCTTGGAACTGAAGTCATCTTGGTTTGTGTCAAGTTGGACATGGAAAATCCTAGCCTTGATTGCTCACTCTCATTGTGCCTTAGCCTCTCATAGATCTCTTCATTGAGCAATGCTACTTTTAAAACCCTGGGCAGATAACCTTGCTTAGTTCATGTTTAAATCTGACTATAAATGAGCCCATTCTTTCCTAGAAAGAAAGCTCTCGCTGCATGGAGAGAAGCTCCTGAGTTGCTGGGAGGGTGCCTTCCCCTGGGATGGAGCCCCAAAGCAGCTCTAGCTCCAGTAACACATTACTGCAAGTACTGACCTGCACTGACAGAGTCTTAGTGCTCTGTGGGAGCAACCTTTACATGTAAAAAAGAATTGCTAAATACTACTCTCAGCGCTACAAGTTGTTTTTTGTGGGCAGTCTTAGTCTGCAGTGATCTTTATTATTTTATTTATGGAGACCTTACTGTCTCTCCTATATTACTTTCTGGAGTTGAGGAGTAGTTTCCCAAAGAGGTAATGAGGGACTGCATTTGCTTTAAACATCTGAAGATGCCAGAAAACTATGCACTGTTTATGCCCTCAACTCCTGAAGGCTTTCAGTGGGTTTGACATCTTTGGTGCTCAACACCTTTAACCTGAACAGAAATGAGTCTTATGGTAGATTAATAAAAACTACTGTCTCTGAGAGTAGTGTTGTTTGGGTTATTTTGGGTTTAATGAACAGTCCTTCCTGCAGACACTGAGGAGCTCTCAGGGTCTGTGAACACACTGGTGACTTAAACACACCATCACTTCTGCTCTCTGTTCCCAGGATATTTACTTATGGGTAGGAGAAGAGCTGCATGGAAACTGCAGTTTCTGAAATTATATATTTAATATGGGGTTTTTTTCCCTAGAACTAGAGTAAACAAGTATCATAAACTGAGTTCTCATGTGCAGTGGCAAAGTCATTGAGCTGCCTTTCTGAGCACCTTGTTAGCTTTTTTATTTATGATTATTTATGCATATCTACTGTACAGTACTGCTTACAACCTGCTGGGAGTAAACAGTAAACACCAATATCCAAACTGTAGGAAGAGAACAGATCTGTTTTAATAACATGGACACAAGTCCCTCAAGCTCACATACAAAGTTGTATGTTTGGGGAAGGCCTTTGGCTTACTTGCTTTATAAATATACTGGTCAAAGCCACTACTTCAAATGTTAAGAACAGTATTGACTGTAGTGGACTGCTTTCAGGTTTGATAAATTTGGCACACAATTTCATATGCTAAAAGCATTTTACAGTAGATGACTTTGCTTTTGATTTTGGACTTCCAAATAGTGAGTTACCATGCAGTATATCTCATGCATATTAATAGCTGAATTCTTACGGTTTCTTTCTGTACTGGCTCTGGCTGAGATAGAGTTAGCTTTCTTCGCAGTAGCCCTTATGGTGCTGTGTTTTCAGATTTGTGACTAAACCAGTGTTGATAACGCACCAATGGTTCAGCTGTTGCTGAACAGTCCTTGCCCTGGGTCAAGACTTTCTTTTCACTGCTGTGCCCCCACAGTAAGTAGGCTGAGGGTGGGCAAGAGATTGAGATGCAGCTAGGACAGCCAACCTGAACTGGCTGAAGGGGTATTCCATATTGTGTATGGCGATTTGTCTTTTTTTCTTTCCTTCACTTACTAAACTGTCTTTATCTCAGCCTGAGAGTTTTCTTGCCTTTGCTGCTCTTCTGTTCCTTGTCTTGCTGGGGATGGAGGGAAAAGTAAGTGAGCGAGCAGCTGTGTGGGGTGCTCAGCTGCTGGCTAGGGTCAACCCACAATACCTTTGGAACTGTTTACAAGGTTTGCAGTAGTAATTTAAACACTGAGGCTTTTGGATCTCAGTGCAAAGGTATCTTAACATCTACCTTTTTGAACTATAACTTCAGAGAAAATGAAGCAGATGGCTTCATCTTTGTGATTTGCTATCTCATGTAATAGACTGAATTTTATGGTTCAAAATGAAATAAAAGTTATAAGTTTTTTACAGTTGAAAATTAGCTAGTCTGAAGATAGGTCACCTGTTAAATGTGGGTAGGCTTGATTTTCTTACAAAAAATATATTTGAACATGGTTCAGGCTGTGAATATTGCAGTCTCTAACTTCATAGTTATATTCTGACTACCGGAGTCATGTAACTTGAGGTGAACCAAGAATAAGATGTAACAAAGTACCTCCTAATGGAAATACATACTCTTTTTGCAGTGTTTACATTGCCAAATAGCAAGTCTAATATTCAGCTTCTATTAGTTTTTGTAAGGGAAAGATAACTTGGAGCAAGAATCTGACTGAATTCTCCATGTGTTATCGATGTCCTGTATGAGTACTTACTGTAAATAAACATATACTGCACCTTTTTTATGTGCACGCATTTTTTTTTTCCCCTACTGTTACCTTTTGTGGGGAGGGAAGGAGAATGTATTTCAGAAGGCTTATGGTTTTGTTCTACCACTACATAAATAGTAGCTTTCATCACAGGGTATTATAAAGACATAAATAGCTGCTTCTAATCCACTGCTTTGTTTGGAGTCCAAGACCTTTTTACTCTGATCCTCGTTTCAGTATGACTAATGGAGTAGAAGGGCTTCCTACTCTTTCCTAGCTGACAATGTGCCTGAATAGTTTCAGATATGCCTTTAAGAGTTTTATTCTTTGAAGCTCTATCTGAAATATAAAGCACTTATGTGCCAGTATTTTCCATGCTTATATCCTGTCAGCAAACTTTAGACCCATCTCTGTGCATGCTGCCATCAATAACAAATCTAATTGGTTTTATTGAGGGGAGAATTGGGTCTTTTCCCTGGAGTCACCTAATTAACTTTTTTTGGTCCCTATTTGATTTTTTTTTTAAATGTTTTAATACCTGCAGTTCTTTGCCTGTTCCAAAGTGGTTTCAGTTCCTGTCAGTCTGATGCTGGTGCCTAGTCATATAGATATACTTATCCTTCCACTTCAGCTTTGTCTAGTAAGTGCGTTCTTGTGGCATCTACCGTACTCATTCCGTAAGTATCCTAACCATCAAACTACAACATCATGCCTTCTTGGTCCGGGGAATCTTAAATCATTTACTGTTCACCAGTAAAGCTTTAAAAGGAGATAGGGAAGATGCTTTTTCCTCCTACTCCAAAACTGCCTTTATTGCTGTTAGGTATTACACATTCTGGTGAAATTGCATGTTTTATTCTGAATGAGGATGAAGTGATGTCTTCTCCTTCCTGGGTTAGCTTTCTAGACTTTAGACCTTAATAGTAAATCTGGGATTGTTCACACTTTTTATGGGTAGGCATAGAGGATTGGTAATCACTTTTTTTCAAAAAAGGTCTTCTAGTATCCACAGTCCAAAGCCATTCCTCTAAGTCAGGGCAGAGGCATTCCTGAAGTCTTAAGCTCTTGCTTCTTGAACTCCACTGAAGAGTGTAATTTCAGGTTGTGTCCCAGCTCACAACTAGGCAGTGGGCAATGCTAGATCCTTGCTAAACCTATAGGTGCATCAAAATCAGAATAGCCTCTGGTGCATTCTAGGTGCTAAGGGCTCTGGCTGCTACTCCCACATGGAGTTCCTAACCTGGAGAAGCCAGGCTTTTCTGTATTCCCTTGCGCTGACGGTGTGCAACTCCCCAACAGGATGTCCTGCAACCACATTTTCTTTGCCAGGGATGTATTGCTCAGTGCAACTGTCATGCTCTTCACCAAGTTATCCCTACTTTCCTAGTAATTGTATGGCTGTTACATTGTCTTGTAGGAAAATCTACATACTTCCTACAGTGTTCACCAAAATATTCCTTATTAAGATGCTGAAAGTCTGGGTGTCAGAAAAGCACATTTTATTGTATTGTGACAGTGTATTCTCAAAATTTCAGCTGTTCAGTCAACAGAACATCTTTTCTTTCTCTTGTTCTCACCGTGATCCCTCAGGCCTACAAACGTCTGGATGCTGTACACCATATGTGTTTTGTACATCTATTATAACTACAGCCCTCTCTGTTTGGATCTGCTGTTCTGAAGAAAAGGAGGAAAGGGCACTTGCATCTGCACTCCCTTTACTTGCTAGTTCTTAGGCTGGAGAAGTGCTGTATAGAGTGATCCTGCTTGTCACTACTTCATGATAGTGAGTTAGGCAAATAAAGTTTGACATGCTTTAGTTAGACTAGATTCCCTTTAGTAGGAGGAGAAATCCCTGCAATAATCTTAATATTTGCTTCTGGAATGACAAACTGGATTAGATCCCGTTCTTCATGTTGATTGAAGAGTAGCTAACAGTGTGTACTAGAACTTGAGCAAGTCTAAGCATACTCATGCTGAAGGTTCCCATGCAGTCACCTCAGTCTAGTTCTTTCAGCTTGTGAATGTCCCTCACCTGAACCATGAGGCTCATCTTATTTGATGTCATTGCTCTCAAAGTCCTTTAGTAGCGAATGGTCTGTTGCCCATTACTAACATATAAACTGGATTGAGTACCCTGAGGACATATTCCAAAGTCATATTGAAGCATGCAAAAGAGTGAAGCTACAAATCAGTCTTTCTGGTTGGTTGGTTGGGTGTTTTTTTTTTTACCACAGCCCTACATATTTCACATAGTAAAACCTGGCTGTGCTCCTAATGGGTGTTTCACTTATAATAGACAAAGCCAACTGGACCTTCTGGTACAAAAATTCTGTTCAGAATGAAATGAGCAAAAGGCAAAGGCCATCTCCATGGATTTTGGGCCCCATAGGAAGATGCCATGAGATGGCGAAAATGTACCTCGCTTAGGATTGACAGCAAAAAGCGAGAAACGGCAGGAAAGTCAATGAAAACTAGCCTTCTTAGACTTGTATGGCTGATGTAAGGGCCCTGCAGAACTGGGCTGCTTGCTCTGTGACACCTCAAAACTTTTTTCCATGCTAGTATCTGACATAGAACCATATACCTAGTAATATATGGAAAACTCCTGAGTTTGCATTGGTGAAGTACACACGAATGTATGCAGTTTGAAGAACTTCATTTATGGCTCAGCAATTTCATATGTGTATATATACACACACACAACATAAATGTGATAAAATTCAAGGCTATTTTCCATCTAAAACTTCAAGCAACTATAGCTTCAAACATCAAACTTTACAGCTCCTTCTCTATTTCCCTACAGGGAAAGGGAAATGTTAGATGAGTGAGTTCTATGGGGCCATCTGGTGTCTATGAATTTAATAGAGGCTGTTCCAGCAATATTAAGACCTTTAACTTCTCTTAAAATTCACATGCAAAACCTTTCTCTGATTCAAATTAGACCTTTTAGCTAGTAGAATCCAAATGTATGCAATAAATAATGCAAGAGATGTTTAACTTTGTAAGACCCTTTCATTTCATGCAAACCCATTTTTGAAAACCTCATTTTCATTTTCCTTTTTTCGGAGCCAAGACTGAAAATCACTTCCTTACTAAAAGTTTTGAAAAATAAATTATGTGAAGTGTAAATAAGCTTAACACTTTTATGCATTTCAGACATCTTAAGAAAAAGTAAACCATTAAAATATTTGAGAGGTGAGATCTGCTCACATTACAGATCTAGCTAGCCAGTAATCCCTATTAACTCAGAAATGAACTTTCAGGTGTGTTACCCGGTGGGAATGCCAGCAGTGGATGGCTTTCCAGTTGGGGAGGGGAACTGATGTTGTCTAAATCAATGCTGTTATAGCACCTTGTGCAAAGTATTGGGTTCCAGATGGAAGAAAAACCTTACAGGACCAGAGCAGCTGGCTATTTCTCTGAGGAATGTAGCTAGGCAGAAAATACTGACAGATCTTATGCTAAGAGTTTTTAGGAGGTGGGATTGCAGCACAGAACTTGGATATCAGACTGACCTTTAGTGCTGAGACAGAAAGTACTGTGCAAAGCTGAGGACCTACAAAACAAAGCCAAGCTTGCACGTTTCCCCCCAAAAAGACCCTGTTTGGATATTCACACAGGAAAAGTAGCATGCATTAGTGTTTGTCAAAGTACTCAAACATGGCACCTCACAAAAACCATAAAAAGATCAGTTACATGCATATTTACAGTGTGAAAGTATATGCTTTGCCTCTCTTGCATTTGGAAATAAAACTAATTGTTGAAATTCAGGTTTAGAATAATGCAATTTGCTGATCTTTTATATAAGCAATATTATTATTTTTTACTTTTCTGAAGTGAGGCTGCTGTAACAGAGAGTTCCTCGTACTGGAACCTATATTCCCAGAAGAACATAAATAATTACCGTGGTGTGTCGTTCTGATGAACAGTACGCTGTTTCGCAGCTTTTTTTTTTTTTTTTTCGCTGAGTATACTATTCTATAGACACCTGTGAAACAAGACCATAATAAATTAGTCTTATTGTGTACACACTGCAGCATTGACCCTTACAGTACCTTGGAAATATTTATTGCTGCATCCAAAGAAAAGAGCAGCAGATTGAGTTTATTTAAAAATCAAACTAAATATAAATGCTTTTGGTCTATAGTCCTGGAACTAGGCTCTTGTACATCATTACTTTAGAATTGTGAGATTTTTGTGAATAAACAGTTTTACGGTCTGGATTTTAATATGTCCTCAGCTATAGTAGGATATTTAGCTATGTCAAATTAGTTACAAATATATCCATAAAGAAGCATTTTTGCTATCCAGTGATCTACATGAAAATGGTCATAAGAACATCTATGCTAGCTTATGCCTGGTTTTGACTGTGTAAAGAAAAATGTTGGGAATTTTTTTGGTGATTTCCTGCTTAGGAATCCACTGGTTTAAGACACTGGAATGCAAAAGTATCGTGTTAGGGCTGTGAAGTCAAGCATTCACAGTTTAGAAAATGTTATAATTCAGATGCCCAGTGCAACTTTTTCACTTGTGTGCATGCAGCATGTATTTTGGCATACACTTTCATTACAATTTATGCTCTGGGTTTTATTTTCATCAGGATGCTGTTTCACTCAGCATGTAGAAGAAACAGCTCTAACTGCATGAGCAATTCTTCAGTATTTGGGATTCTCCCTGTACTTCAGCATGTGGCCCTATGCTGAAGACAGTGATTCATTGTCATGAGTCCTTCCAGGATCTCACTGACAGCACCTGAGTGCTTCTTGAGGTGTTTTTGAGGCTTATCTCCTTAAATAGGAAGATCAAGGCTGAAAGTTGCTGAGATTAAAACTCAGGTGAGTTGTGTTGTCTTGCACTTCACTGTTCAAAGTAGTTAGTGTGACACAGGGCTGAATTACTTAAAAATTTCTGGTGACTTTACTTGCAGCTGGAAGTGTTTAGCAGCTTTGCAAATTTGACTAATGGGCTTAAGTCAGACACTTGTATAATGAGAAAGGGTAGTGGTCCCTTGTGAAAGGGTGA